CAAGATCCCTCAGGATTTTACATGTTTCAATCAATTCACTTCTTACTCCTCTAACATCCAGTGGATACAAGCCTAGCCTGCCCAATCCTGCTCTCTCATTCCAGGAATTTAGTCTGGTAAACATTCTCTGAACTGCCTCCAACACAATTACACCCCAAATGTGATGTGCTGGAATGGCCAAACAGTGATCCACAGTCATCTACTACCCCTGAGGCCTTTACCCTAATGGGTAAAGACCCAACCTACTTGAATTGAGTCAATTCTCTTTGAACTTCTTCAAGCAACCGTATTTTTTTAAACAAGGGCAGTATTTGAGATGTGACCTCACCAAGGTCCTGTGAGCTGTGGTAAAACTTTCTGACATTGATATTCCATTCTGCCTGCAATACACACCAACACTTGATTTGTCTTCCTGATCACTTGCTACACCTGTGTCTCAACTTTTTGTAATTTGTGTATTTGGGGAGGTGGAGGTCCAGAACCAGGTCAATGTTCTGGGGGGACATAGATTTGAACCCACCATGGCTGATGATGAAATTTGAATTCAATAAAAATTCTGGAATTAAAAGAAAAGCTAGCCAAATGGTGACTGTTGATTGTTGCAAATGACCTTTCAGGAAGGAGATGTGCAGTCCTTATCTGGTCTGGCTTACATGTGATGCCAATGTGGTCGACTCTCAACTGCCCTCTGGGCAATTAGGAAGAGGCTGAAGCATTGATACTTATATCCTGGGAATAAAGATTTAAAAACGTGATAGGTTTGTGGGCTTCAGCCGTGAATATATTCCATATTTGAACACAACAAATATAGGATTATAAGATTCTGCTCCTATGATGCTGCTTGGCCTGCTGTGTTCATCCAGCCCTGCACCTTGTTGTCTCTGAGCCTCTGAGGTTCTGATTTAAATGACCCAGAAAATAAAATCTAATATATGCCACCCCCTTGGTTGCAACCAGGGTAATTTTTAAACGATTCTTTCCTTGTGTGTGTAATTCTCCCAGACTCAAATGAACTTCTGTTTTAAAATGAGCCAATTTAACTAGCTTTCTCGAGTTAACAAAGTTTAGCAATTACTAAGTTTAGCAATTGCTAAACATGAGCAGAATTAGTTATGTGACACACATACGCACAGAAAAAAACCGAAAGAACTGCAGATGCTGTAAATCAGGAACAAAAACAGAAGTTGCTGGAAATGCTCAGCAGGTCTGGCAGCATCTATGAAGAAAAAAATCAGAGTTAACATTTTGGGTCCAGTGACCCTTCCTCAGAACTTGGGTTCTGATTAGGAATAAGAGATGAGTCTAAAAGGATAAAACAGATTTATAGATCAGTATCTGAATTGTTTACAAAGAACACACAGTTGGATTTTACAGCCATTACAGTGAAGGCTAGCAGTAGTGTTAATGTCAATAGATGAACAAATAATTCATTCAAAATCCTTAGGGATTTGCAGGCTTGATGCAATTCTGTAGCTCTGATTCCTTTCAACCATGATTGTATTTCAACATTCGGGTTGAGAGAGGGTTCTTCTGTTGTCCTGTTTCCTTTTAAACTTGTTTGAGCACTTGGAATGAGAGAGGGTACTGGAATACAGGGATAATGTGGGCATTGCTCTTCAACTGTGACTTTCACACATGGTAATACTCTAGTGTAGGTCGGTATGCATGAAAAGATTCAGCTCCACCAGTACACTCCAGTAGAGCTGAAACTGCATTTTTAACCTCTCTCTTTGCGTATTCTTCAAAGGGCAAAACAGAAAATGTGTCTTCCGTTTGGGACATAATCTTCAGGACATGGCTTGACGTTGAGCAGGAGGTCATCAAAACCTAATTATCTCTGTAGTCAGAAGAGATCACAGTCCAGTCTGCTTTTATTTGCCTCTTCCCACCTCTGAAGCATTTTTGTTTAAAATTCCTTTTGCATCCAAAGATATGGCATTTTGTGGGTCTCTCTCTCTCCAACTTCCTAACTTGTATCCTTAGTTATTGTGGCTATATCAAACTTCTATTAAAAAACATATACACATTTTTGAATTACAAGTTAAAAATATCCATAATACTTTGGGGTTCTGGCCCATGGGTATAACACTTGTTGGATCTCACCTGGAGTATTATGTGCAGTTCTGGGTGCTATTCCAAAGAAAATGATATGAATACATTGAAGAGGTTTATAAGAATGGTTCGAAGGAAGAACATAGACTGGAGAGATTGTGACTGTTCTGCTTGGACAGGAGAAAGCTAAGAGGAAATCTGATAGAAATTTTCAAAATCATGAGAGGTCTGGACAAAGTAATCAAGGAGAAACTGTTCCCACTTGTGAAAGAGTTGGGAATGAGAAGGCACAGATTTAAAATCATTTTCAAACTCAGCAAAAATAGCATGAGTAAAATACATTTTCATACAAGTGTTTCAGGTCTGGAATGCATATTGAATTGAACTTTGGAGGAGCAGGTTCGATCAAGTCATTCAAGAAGACATTGTTTCTATTTAAATAATCACCCAATGTGTAAAGACACGGTGAAAAGCAGGAGAAGGCACTAAATTATAATGTTTATTCGGAGAGGCACAATTGGCTGCACCATAACTCTTCTGTGATTCTGTACTGTCATGCTATTTTAATTAAAACGTACATAATGAATAGAAAATCTAAAATTCATGTACTCTTAAAGGATAGCCAGAAATTTGATACCATTAAAATGTTTCATGGTAAAATTAACTGTGACCATTGTTCTCATAAGAAGTTCCTCTCTCTATTGATAGTAAGAGGACTGGAGTTTGATAAAAGTACATGAAGCATTGATATGATTACACTGCAAAACCAATTTCTACATTTAACCCTCACAAACGGTCTGACTTCAACACAAACATGCATTAGTAATATTCATGCTCAAGAAAGGAAAAGAATCAAGTTCCTTTTTGAAATTAAGTTGTAGGATGTATATGTTGCTGGCTGACCGGTATTTATTGCCCATCCCTAGTTGGTCTTGAGATGGTGGTGTTGGTGACCTGCCTTCTTGCACTGCTGCAGTCTTTGTGTCATAGTTGATGCATTGCACCCTTTTTAAAGTATAAACCAAGAAAATCTAGAACTGCTCAGCAAGACAGGCAACATCTGAGAAGAGAAAAACTGAGTTAATATTTCAGGTTGATGATCTTTCATCAGAACTGGAAACAGTTTGAGATGCAACAGACTTAATCAAGTACAGAGGCTGGGAAACTGGGAGAAAGTGGGGGGGAAAAAAAAGAGGAAGTTCTGTGATAGGGTGGAAGACAGGATCGATTAAATGGTGAAAAGGATGATGGTGCAAAAGTAAAAGGGGTGGGAAAGGGACAGATGAATAAAAAAAAATGGGTCCAGAGGAGGTGTGAATGGCAGGAACCGGATCATCCAATCTGAAACTGCTGAACTCAATGTTAAATCTGGATGGGTGTAACGAGTCAGAGAGAGAGCAAAAGTGGAGAATTAAAATGACAAGCAATTGGAATCTCAGTCACGTGTGAATTGAAATATTCCCCAAAGCAGCCAATGAATCTATGTTTGATCTCCCCAGTGTATGGCAGGCCGCATCACGAGTATGCAATTGAAAAGTTCACTTAGAAAGAATGTTTGGAACCTTGGATGATAAGGAGGGAGGAGGTATAAAGGCTTGTCCTTTGTTGGCATCACTGGCAAGTTTGGCCTTTAATGCCAATCCCTGGTTTGCATTGAGAAGGTGATTTGAGGCCTTCTCCTTACATTGCAGATCTCCTCAATTTGCCAAAAAAACCAAAAGAACTTCAAATGCCGGAAATCTGAAACAAGTGTCACTGGGCCTGAAACATTACCTCTGATTTCTCTCCACAGATGCTGCCAGAACTGCTGAGTTTTTCCAGTGATTTCTGTCCTCAATTTTCAAACTTTCTAAAGTGCGGTTATTGCTATTTGTTTGTAAATGCAGCAACTAATTTGCACACAGCAGCATCCTGCAGAGGGTATCAATTTTGGCAGCTTGGTTAAGGGACAGATGGTTCCCAAGGAACTGAGAACTCCTCGCTCTTCTTCATTTCCCAATGCAGGGTGACCATCCAATGCAGTTCTGGGGGAGTGCTGCGTTGCTGGAGAGTCAGTGCTGAAGGAGTGCTGCACTGTCCGAGAGTCAGTGCTGAGGGAATGCTCCAATGTCAGAGGGTCAGTACTAAGGGAGTGTTGCACTGTCCGAGAGTCAGTGCTG